CTCGGCAGAGCCCTGATAGTGCCTGGCTTTCCCATCCCTCACCATCCCTGAGAGCCAGCCCAGCCTCCGCGGTCAGGCTGACCAGGGCTGCCTTCTCCTGCCTGACTCAGCCAAGGAAGGCGGGGGGTGGTCACATCCCCACAGTGTCACTGTTCCCTCCCTGAGCCCTGTCTGCGTGGACGGCAGGGCCTGGCTGCAGTCCAGGCAGCTTTGTGAGATGCTGGTGTGTGGCCGCGCCAGCAGCAGCCTCCAGACACAACAGTTTACGGGCAGGAAAAACTTCCCATCCCTCTGCAGGAGCTACGGGGGGAGATGGGGCATGTGCCTGCCCCTCGGGGAGCCCTGGCATGGGGGCACAGCAGGCTCAGCCCGACCCCAAGCCCGGCTGCAGCGGGACCACTTGCCTCCATCGTCCTTCACCCACCAGACCCTCCCTGCTGCCCCTGCACCCACTGTGGTCCCTGCAGCTGGGAGCATCTCCCTCGCTTTGGTCATCCCCAGAGCCACTGGGCAGAGAGGGCAGCTCGCCGTTCATGGCTTTATCCTGATGTGATACTTTGCTTCCTTTTCCTACAAGGATGTGTCTTTGGGCAGCAGCAGAATGGGGGGTGCTGCAAGATGTCCCCTCTGGCACAGAGGAGCTGGCGGTCTGCTGTCTGTACCCCTTGTGAAGCGCAGTCTGGAGGGCTGGCACGGCTGTCTGCCACCCCAAACCCCTCGGGGCAGGTCAGCAGGAGGTAAGGGGTGACCAGTTCCCCACCCTGGCCCATTTTTTGGCCCCGGAGCTTGCTGAGGAGACCCACAGGGTAGCATGAGGGTCCCTGAAGCCACACTGTGAACATGATGCTGGCCCTCCAGTGCTCTTCCCAAGCTGGCTGGTGACAGGGGTGGGGGTCCACGGGCCCCTTTCCCAGGATGCCGGGGACAGGCAGCTGGGTGCCACGGCAGGGAGCTGGTGGTGGCTGGTGCTGGGAGACATTCCTGGAGCATGTCCCAACTGGCCCCCGCAGCAGGCGAGGTTCCCGCTCCGGCACCGGCCAACTCCTCCTCCCCTCACCCACCTCGGCGCCAGCCCCCTGCTGCTCCCCTCTGCCTGAAAGCCCCCAAATTTAAGAGGGTGTGGAGAGGGAGCAGCTCCCTTCCAGCAGCCTCGGAGCTGCCCCATGCATCCCTGCCAGCTGGGGATGCCCACACTGTGCTGGAGCAGGGAGCGCTGCCGGAGTGCCGTAGGGTCAGGAAACTAAAATCCTGTAAGGGTTGTGCTGAATCCCAGCCTGTGCCAGATCAGCCCCGAAGGCAGAGGCTGCAGGATGTGGAGAGGGTGGGCAGAGGATGGGGCACAGGACCCACGGCACCGCAGCCGCAGCTGGCTCTGCAGCCCCGCACATGTCTCACCGTGCCGTGTCTCACCGTGCCACGTCTCGCCATGCCACGTGACTCATCTTTCCTGCCGCCTAATGCAGAGCTGAAACCTCACCTGGGGCTGAAGAAAACAAATTTTCCTCATTTCCCACTAAGGCAGTGGCGAGACCGCCTGCCTGGCAAGCGCAGGGCGGGGAGAGGCTCAGCCCCAGTACTTCCCGCGTGCCCACTCGCAAACTGGGGGGCTCCTGTCCCTGGGAGTGGTGTGAACCCCTGTGGGGCTCGGAGCTGGTGCTCCCCCTGTGCCTGCAGCCCAGGGCAGTGCCCTGCAGGGACCAGGGCCACTGGGATCTGGGGAGATGTTTTGGGGCTTCTCGTGATCTGAGACTTATGGGGCAGCAGAGGCTGTGCCACAGGGAGTGCGTGGCCAGCTGGCGAGTGGCATTTGGGGACCAGGGTGGCATGCGCAGGACAGGCAGGGGTGAGGGGCCGGGGTTACGGTCAGCCCTGCAAGCTTTGATCAGTGTCAGTGGAGAGGACTCAACGTACTTGGGGCCAAGCCAGCCGGGAGATGGGGAACCCCAAGCCTGGGCTGCGGGAGTAAGGACTAGTGGCCTGGCTGCCAGCCCGCCAGGCTTGGGAAAGGGCTGACAGCTTTTTGGGATGTTCCCGGAGGGACTGGCGTGCAGTGGCGTGGGGCGGCTGCGTGAGTCACTCGCACCTGGTGCTCTCCCTCCGCTGAGGCAGCACCGTCCCGCGCCCGGGGCCGCGGATTCCTTCCCTGGCCCTGGTATGTGTGTGTGGGGGGAGCTGGGAAACACTGTGGAGGGGAGGCACTCTGGTTTTGGGGACCCAGCACCCCGGCATGCCTCCCTCCAGTGCCAATGCAAGGGGGATGCTGCTGGCAAGACGGTCGAGATGCTCCTGGGCTACCCATGGGGGAGCAGGGTTTGGGGACCACCCCACACCGGTCCCTGCCACGTTCCCGGGGGCCAAGGTGGCAGGCAGAGCCCCCGGCATGGCTGCAAAGCATCGCTGCCCTGGTGCCTCTGCCTGCAGTGCCCGCTGGACGATGCTCACTCCGTTAGCCGGGGCGACCCCCAGCTGCCCGTGCCCGGCTGCCGGCACCGTGCCGTGGGCTGCTCCACCAGCTCCGGGCCCGGGGCCAGCCACAGAGCCCTTGGCAGACCCCTCTGCTCCCTGTTTAACGAAGCCCCTTGTCTAATTGGGACAGGCCGCCCTGCCTTCATTAAGCGAGCTCTGGCGGGAGGAGGGTTTGGGGACGGTCCTGACCTGGGGATGCTGGACCTACGGCCGGACCCACAGAGCTGGGGCGGGCAGGGGGAAACCCGTGGCCACGGTGAACTTTGGAGCCGGCCGGCCAGGTTTGGGGGCCGGGGCTGGGGCCTAACGAGAGGAAGGCTAACGAAGAGGAGGGGATGCACTGCTTGCTGCGCCTTTAAGAAGAGCGGGGGCATCGCCGCTCCTCCCCTGCTTGGGAACAGTGTGTGCCTGGGAAAGTTGCCTGCAGCCAGCCCTGGAGCATCTTTGCTCAGTGGCAGGTGGCCCTGCCCCGGGCCCCCAGCTGTGAGGTGGCCCTGGGCCCCAGGGACCCCCACTGTCGCTCCCCTCGCTGCCCACAGGAAGATGCCCCCGGACCTGCCCGCTGCCCCACCAGGAGCCGGAGGGGAGCCCCTGGGCCGGCAGCCGGGAGGGCACAGGTACACGGGGTGCTGGGGACAGAGGGATACGGGGTGACCAAGGGGACAGAGAGGAGGTGGCATGGGGCACATGCTGGGGCCATGAGCCAGGGCCAGCCCCAGGTGAGCACAGGCACCAGCGGGGAGCATGGGGTGCACCGTGATGCACCCCAAGGAGCAGTGTGGTCGCATGGTGTGCTCTGGGGGTGAGGGGCACCCTGAGGGCCAGGGGTGCACCCTGGGCTAAGGAGCAGATCCAGGGGACAGTCCTGCCAGTTGCTGGGTGGGCAGGGAGTGAGGCCGGGGCACCATGGGGTCCCTGCCTACCTTGCTGGGCATCTTCTCCCTTTCACCTCTTCCCACCAGCTGCACTCACACCACCAGTCGCTTTCCAGAGTGTTTCTCCAGCTCTGGGGTAGGTCTCGGCCACCAGTCTGATCTGGTGGCCACTGGGAGATGGTGTCCAGAGCAGAGTGGGAGGATGCCCCACAGCTGGCTCCAGCGCAGTCCCCATACTTGAGCTATGGGTGCTAGGGTCCCACGTGATGGGCACCATGAGCTGCAGGGTGCAGGAAAGGTCCTGGCCAAGGCCTGGCTGTCCTGCAGCCTCGTGGGAGCAGCCCTTCTCCACCACCATCATCATTCCCAGGGCTGGTGCTCAGAGCGAGGCTCTAACCCGGAGGGGGCCAAGGCTCGGGTCCCCATGGCAGCTCCGTCCAGCTCTGCCCAGGGCCAGGCAGTGTCCTGAGGTCCCTGGGGACACATTCCCCCAAGACGGATGGAGGTGTGCAGCCGGCTTCAGGCTGGCAGGTCCCAGAGCTGCTTACCACGTTCCTGGGACATGGAGGATGGAGATGCTGGAGGGAAAACTGCCTTGAGCTTCACCAGGGCCCTCTCAGCCGCGCACAGATGTTTCTGTGGCGAGTCCAGCAGAAACCCTTCCGGGGGGTCCAACCCCCTCCTGCTTCATCCCCATCCCGGAGCCCCCC